GGAGGGAGGGAGGGAGGGAGGGAGGGAGGCAGGGAGGGAGGGAAGGGAGAGTATGAAGGGAGAGTGTGAAGGGAGAGAAAGAAGAGGAGGGGTGAGTCAAACTTTCACATCTTACTAGTTTGTGGTAACAGGAAAAGGCAAATAGCAATATGAACATGTGTAACTTGTGGATACAAAGAGGAAGGAGGTAGGTCATGTTGTGCCATTACTAGGTTTTCTGTGGTTTTGTTTTTGTTTTTGTTTCCTGAAACAAAGTATCATTGTGTGGCTCAGACTCATCTCAAACTCCATATTCTCTGGCTTCCACCTCCAGCCTGTTTGATTCACAGGTGGTGCCAGCACATCTGGCTTAGAGATGTTGATATAAATTTTATTGATGTATAATAATATTAAAAATGGCTAATCAACAATGAAGTGATGGGTTAGCTTCAGCAGGTGAGCTCAGTGGTACAGACGGACACTCACTCTCAGTACATGACCTGTCTCACGGCCTCTCAGCCTGCTCCACCACAGGGCTCCCTGTCCCGACTCCCGGCTCATGGATTACTTTTACTTATTTTGAAATTTCATAAAATCTGGCTTGTGTTTTTTATGCATGTTCACATCTGACTTCCTTCATCCAACATAGTGAGACTAGATTATTACCTCGCAAATTTTTCACTTGTTTTGTGTACGGACAAATGAGATGAAGGTATATGTGTGTAAGTGTGTGTGGATGCACACATTAGAGGCCACAAGAACACACCTCCTCTGTCCTCTCCAATTTACTCTCCTAAGAGACGATCTTTCAATAAACTTAAGCTCTCAGTTTGTTCAGCTAAGGTCAGTGACCCACAAGCCCCAGTGATCCACTTATCTTCAGTGCTAGGAGTATAGGTATGAGTACCATGCCTGGCTTTTTATACAAGTGATGAGGATCCAAATACAGGTCCTCATTTTTGAACAACAAGCATTCCTACTCACTGAGCCATCTCTTCAGCCTCCTTTGTTTAATTTCTTTTATTTTTAAGATTATGATATAATTACATTATTTCCTCCTTCCCTTTCCTCCTTCCAAATGTTCCTATACACTAAAGCTTGCTCTCTTTCAAATCCATGGCTTCTTTTTTCTGTGTGTGTGTGTGTGTGTGTGTGTGTGTGTGTGTGTGTGTGTGTGT